AAAATACTTTGAAAACGTTAAAGAGTTATGCAAATGTAAGAAATTACTGAGGCAACCATATGCAGATATCTGGCAGGCACTGTTAGTTGAACGCTAGAGATGAGCGAGACGGAGTAATGGCAGAAGGCGCACACGCTTGGTGGCTTTGAACAGAACTATTAAGTTACTTCACTTTTCTGGGGTTTGCCTACCTCCAGGACTTGTCTGGTAAGGGAAAAGACTGGAGGGAGAGACAGTTGGTGACAAACCTTGACATCCATATAAAGAAATTGGATCTTCATTCTACCAGCAGTGGGAAAAACTGAAGGGCTTTTCTGAGCATTATTTTTGTATTCATCTGAGAAACATCCATGGGACGTGATGCCTAGTTTGTTTGGATATGGATACGTCAACTGTTAATAATTCCCATGCCATGCCACTGTCTGAAATGGAATGGGGAGACAATGGTAGTTCTGTGAACTGGAGAAATAGAAACGATAGTGCCTCCCAGCTGAATCTGTCCAGCAGTCACTCCCATATTCACAGAGCACTAGCTCAGTGAAGACTTCAGAGCTGCAGAATCAGTAGGGAAATGAGGCTTCTGATGTCCTTGCCTTTACTTTCTCCTTACATTCAATTCCTCCTGAAGTCTTATATGTCCTTCCTCTTGCTAAATATGTTTTAACGGCACCCTTATCTCCACAAGTGAGTCCACACTCCTTGACTTCAGTCTGTTATCCAAAACATCTCTTAGAAGTTTGGCTCTACATATCTGTCTCCCCAGCTTCACTCTGCTTGGGCCTCCCTACAGATAAATCATCACAGGCAGGTGAACTCACTCCTATGACTCTGCAATCCATGCTTACCAGCTAAGGACATGCAGGCTTTCCTGCCCTCAGGCGGCATCCAAAACATACTGCAAGGTCCCAACATCTGGCTTTGAATACACCAACCTCTCTCTGCTTCAGTTACATTGTGTGTACTTTCCTTTCCTATGTATCTGGGATGTACCCTCTGTGACACTGTGCATTGTATTAGCATAGCAGCTGTACTTACAAGCTGGGTTCTAGCTTAGTAGCTCAGCTGCCAATGTCACAGAACAAAGCCCCACCGAAAGTCAGCAGTTTCAATAGAACGTATGTTTGAGGTGACAAAAAAGCAGAGGGGAAAAATGGATAGGCTGTGAAAGGGAGCTGGAGGGGGAGAAGTTTTTTTAATTTCAATGGAAGGTCCATCCATATTGGAAAGAGAAGGGATAAATGGAGGAGAGGGTAATGTCCATTCCAAGGATATATTAAGCACAAAAGGATGCGATTCAGGAAGAACACCATTATCTTTTGCCATAGGAATTAACATTTACAAAGCCACGCTGAGTCGCCCAGCCACACTCAGAGGCAGATGAGTAAGGAAGCAAAAGCAGTGCAGCCACAGGGGGGTCTGGCTGCCAAAGAGTTAAGTATAGTTAGCTGTGCAGCAGCTGAGGAGGAATGATGAGAAAGAAAAATACAATGATCTGCTTTTTTTATTGAGACGGAGCTAGAGTGCAGAAAACATTCAGTGTGGTTCTGGAATCACGGGAGTGGGGGAGGAGCACCAAATCCAAAAAACATTTTCTGGTTGGTTATGACATCTCTCTTGGGTAATTCTAATTAAGTTTTTATTAACCAGCACTTGGTCTCCCCACAGGTGTTTTCCAACTTTGTACTTCTGAATAAACACTATTTTCCAATAGCTTTCATTCACAGCCCCACCAAACACCTCATACTGAATCCAACCTATTCCGGCAGCACCAGCACCTGTTTCGTTGTTAGCACTGCCTAAGTTCTAGCCTCACCCCAGACGAAGGCAATTGGAAATGGGGGCGAGGGGAGTGGGCCCAGCTCTGTTTTTAACTGGTCCTCCATGTGAGTCTGGGCACACTCAAGCTCAAGAACCATTGTATTAATAGCACTTGTACTAAAAGCACTCTAGCATTTGGCTTGCCTCCACTGTTACTGCAAGGCTCTCTTCTATTGGTCTGTTGTCAGGACACTTGACAAAAGTGTCCACACCTCCCTCTGCAGCTCTCAAAGGTGGTCAGGAAGCGAAAACATGGGGGGAGAGGTAGGTAGGGGGGTATGATGGAAGTACACCACAATGAAAGAAGGAAATCTGTTAAACATTAAACCATTTGCCATCTTCTCTTAGCTAATGAAAGCAAAGTTCATTAATAAATTCTAGCCTTGTCTAACACAGGAGCATAGTTTGAGAAATGCTGGTCTTGAAAAAAGTCTCCACAATGAACTTGATACTCGTAGAGTTCTCCTTCCTCCACACAGGAGATTAGTACGGATGTGTGTTGCTGTGGTCCCCCTGGTCTGCACTCATTGCATCCTGCAGTGCTAGATGTTCCCTTTGGATTTAATCCGATATCCTCTCCTAAGATGACCGAACATCCTTGTCTCGTCACGTGCATCTTACTGCTCAGCAAATTACCCAAGCAGAACATGAGCTTGAATATCTTTCACTGTCTTCTGTCCAACCTGCTCTGCTCTGGAGGGGGCTGACCATCACAGGCCATTTCAGGAGAAAAATTCAAACGGATTCTCTAGTATCTGCCCTTGGTCTATTGGCTCATAGACACCTCACCTTTTCACCTTTAACCACAGCAAAAGTAATAATCACATATACTTTTCTGAAAGCTCTTCTGAAGAGGCCACTCTCAGCTACACTAACCTGTACCAATTCTCCTCTCCAACTCAGCTGACACAGTTTAAATGCACACTTGCAATGGCCATTGGTTTTTGGCTGGCCAGTCTTTTCTCCCTCTTTCCCTTATATAGTCCTCCCACTCGGAATTCATAAGTAGTCTGGTTGAGATGATAAATCTGAACTCTCAAGCCCTAGGAGTACAAGAAAGATCATTTTTAATGTACAGACAACACTGGCCTGCCATCGATGTCATGGAGTTGGAGAATATGAAAAACGGTCATGCGACTCCTAGCATGAATTATAGATTACCACTCCAGCCAGATTTCACAAATTTTCAGGCCTTGGGCCTAAGGTTAATCCAGACAAAAAAAATAACTACTTAACACTTAACCAGTATTAACTTCCTTTTCATAATTTACTGAAACTAGAAAAAGGTACTCTGTATACAATTGTGTACTCTGTATACAATAAAATGTATACAATTTAGTTAATTGTACAAAACATTAATTTAGCAAGATAATATTGGTTTCAGTCATGGAAGTTAACATTCAACGTACTTTTCACTGCAACTTCCATGAAAAGCTCAGCGAACTGTCTCTGGCTGTAAAGTTATAACAAAAGCAACAAGCTTAGTGTACAACAGAAAAGGTTTATCTTCTACAATAGTACGGCAGACACAATCACTAAGAGGCTCTCCATGCTGCCACAGTTTTACTGGAATGTTTCTCAAGAGTCCATCTTCTACGTGAGACATCAGATTTCTAAGACCAACACTTGAAGCATTAGACGTAATACAAAATAGGGAGTTTATTATTTATATAAAACTTGTACATTAAAAAAAATTGAGATTCAACAACTGTGCTGACCCCTGAGGAAGCTAAGAGCTTTTATGGGTCCATCAAAGAGCCCTGTGTGATATTTCAGTCACCAACCTCCTGGCCACAGGAACAAGGCACACAGCCCCACGGCCATTCACGTGGCTCCTTCATTGGCTCTGCAAGCTGACTTTCCCTTTCATTAGGCTCAGCAAGCAAGCCAGGCTTTCCTGGACAGCATTAAAGAACAGTACCTTCTCTGGCTCAATCTAGAGGTTTATCAGTATACAAGTTGATTTTTCTTTATTTCCTGAACATTTTCAATGATCTAGCATAAGAAGCTTTATTACAACATATACAGACTTGATACAGTTGTTTACAAAAAAAAAAAAAAAAAAACTAGGTTGTTTTTTCAGCTAAATAAATTAAAACATCTTTAAAAAATTAAAGTTGGCTAAGAGAAATGGTATTTTTCTGTCAAAACTGTGTCTCAACACTGAGTTCTGAGAGAGGTCACAGACTTGCTTGTATTTGAGAGTCACCCTCACCTAAGCAATAAACAAGAGCACAAAACTCTGTGTTTCTTCAAACTTAAAAATAAACCCTGCTGAAAGATGTGGTACAGCCAATCTAGTTACACATTTAGATTTAGGCAAGGGTTTTTCTGAACAAACAGCCTACAGAAATAAATGCAGTGATTTGCTTTCTTTTTTCTTTTTTTTTTTCTTTTGAGATGGGCTAGAGTGCAGTGGCACATTCATAGCTCACAGCAACCTCAAAGTTCTGGGCTCAAGTGATCCTCCTGCCTCAGCCTCCCAAGTAGCTGGGACTATAGGTGTGCACAACAATGCCTAATTTTTCTGTTTCTTGCAGAGATGGTCTAGTTCTTGCTCAGGCTCAGACTGGCTTGAGCTCCTGGCCTCAAGTGATCCTCCCACCTCAACCTCCCCAAAGTGCTAGGATTACAGGTGTGAGCCACTGCACCTGGCCATGATTTCCTTTCTCGATGAAGAACTATTAAGCACTGCTTAGTACATTATTCTGTGGTTTGGAAATCAATCTTCCCTTGAAGAAAGCAGGTCCTCTTCTGAAGAATAATGTTGGTTACCCCCCAAATCAAAACAGACCAGCACCAGATGAAGTATTAATTTACAAAAAACAGGCCTAGCTCTGATTTCTTAAACTTCTACAACCCAGACATAATAAATTAACTATAAAATCAGGAATTTTATCAGCTACAGTATAATTTAAAAATCTATTTCAACTGGCAGGGGTGGGGAAGGAGGACAATCTTATACTGATCACCATGAACACTTTTTCCAGCTTGTATTTGCCTTCAGAAGCAATCTGTAGATTACCACTGATGTTGTAATCTTTCCAAAGAGCAATGCGTATAAAGTACTAAACTGTTTTCAGATCTGAGGAATCTGCATCAAAAACCTCAAACCTCTCTGAAAGAGCCAAAAACCAAGCAGTTGTCACACTGATCGTGTCTATTCATCCTCAACAGGACACTGCATTGAGCTTTTTAATTCACAGATTTTATGTTAGTCCTTTAGAACCCAATGCCCACGTTTCAGTTCAGAATTGTCAGGCTCCTCAAACTGTCTTCTTGGTGCAAGTTCCTTGGAGGTCTTGTAGATTTATCTTTGACCTATGGCAGAAAAAGACAAAGTAGCAATACACAAAATAATCAGGAAAGCAGAATTCTAATCTAGCATTACTATATCTGACTGATAACTTTTTATATTGTATATATTTTTAAGTCTAGGGAAAATATATGTTAAGTATATCTTTAAGTCTTACCTGTTGTGAATCATGTGACTTTTGACTAGATGTCCTGCTGCCAGAGCTGCCATCAGTGACAATTCTCCAGCCAACACTGTACCACACACAATTCGGGCAAGTTGCCGGGCATTTTCCCCAGGATTGTCTTTGCATGCTCCTTGAACACCTAGCATCTATAGCCAGAGAGAAACACAGTAAGAGTCATCCTTAAAGACACAGCAATAATAATAATTTATTACTAAATCACCTAAAATCAGGACAACTACAATGGCATGAGACTAGTATTCAATTCCACTGGAAGTACTAAATTTCTAAGATTTGACAGCCAGGACTGACAAGGCATACACCACAGCTGACATCACAACCACAGCCTAACTGCCTGGCAGTGTCTTCACTCAGAGTATATGAACATTCATTTGCTTT